CATCTCTGTGTCTTTTAATCCTGAGGGATATAGTAGATGCTCAATAAATACTGGTAATTGGAAGATAGGCAAGGAATAAATAAGAAAAAAAAAAGTAGAAAGGGAGATATGGGGGGAAATACAGAGTAGGAGAGAGGACAAGGGAAAGCCGGGAAAATTCAATTGAAATAATTGAAAATTTAGTTGAATAATTCTAGTTGAAATCATTAAAATTACCTACTTTATATTAATATTCAGATCTCCTGAATTATAATAGTAACTTTCATTTGTATTTTGAAACAAAATAAGATTCCAAATACAAAAAGAAAATGTTATGGTATATAAATACTTAAACAATGAAATGCAGCTCAATGCAAAAATCATTCATTACATGTATCCTTCTATTATATTAAAAGTCAAAACAAAAAAACAAAAATGATAGAATGAAACTGTATCACAGAACTTGCTTTTCCTAATACCTGATAAAATTTATTTAAAAACACCAAAATAAGCAAGTCAAAAATACATTAACAGCATCCAAATAAGGAAAAGTGATAGCTAAGGAAAGTAAAAAAAGGTTCTACAATGGAGTAGCTTCTAATCATCCCTCCAACCCATGCACAGGAGGGAAATAAAGAAAGTAGCAAACACCTCGAACGTTACTCATGATCACTAAATTTAGAGATAAGCTCATGGAAAAAGCAATAGACAAAAGAAAGGAGAATGTGGTCAGGTGGAAAGTGGGTTTGGCAAGGAAAGAAGAGGGGCTATGCAAATGTCAATTCAATTCTTTCTTTTTAAAAGATTTTATTTATTTATTAGAGAGAGATTGAGAGAGAGAGAGTACGTGTGTACACTAGTGGTGGGAGGGGCAGAGGGAGAGGGAGAAGCAGACTCCCCGCTGAGCAGAGAGCCTGACACAAGAGGGGCTCCATCCCAGGACCCTGAGATCATGACCTGTGTCAAACTCAGACGCTTAACTGACTGAGCCACCCAGGTGCCCCATCAATTCAATTCTTAAGGAAGTTCAAATCAACCACCAATGCTCAAAATGTTTAATTGCGTAGAAGAGTCTGCGTAGAAGAGCCACAATATTAGACTTGTTACTTCCCAGCCATAGTGATGGATATGGCAGACATGAAAACAAAAAATAAGTAACAACCTTTCAAGAAGCAGAAATCCTGGGGAAAAGTCATAAAGCAAGCCCCATTTGAAATCCCCTCTATACTACTATCTTGCCCATGGAACCGATTAACACCATAACCTTGCATTATTCATCACTTCGTTCTTCTCCCTGCAGATTCTAGGAAGACAAGGGTTGAACTCATAAGTGCATAATCTGGCCTGGCTCTTTGATCTCAGCAGGCTTGGACATGCATGCTGAATTGGAGCAATGATCTGATGCTCCAGGATATTACCTTAGAAGGAAAGATACAGTGTTAGCACTAGGTGGAATAAATCCTGCTACAGAACATTTAACAGAAGCAGCAGCAGCAACCAGGACCTCATACAAGGCTAAACCTTCTTCCCCACACTTGCCCTTAGGCTACAGAGACTATAACAGAGGGGAACACTTAGTTCACACACTGTAGCTATGAAATAAGGTGTGGGGCAAAAACAATGCATGCATCCAATATCAAAACAGATTAGAAGTCTGTCTGTATCACAATCTTTCTATAAAATCTTTGCAAATAGTCTAATTCTCCTCCTAAAGGTTCTGCCCTTAAAATGTTACTAAAAACTATAAGGAAAATATTAGTCAAAACTGCTTCTTTTAAAAAATTCTTACACTAAATATTTCTTATATTTCTCTTATATTTTGTAAGAGATATATAAAAAGCCTTATATTTCTCTTCAATTAATTATTTCGTACCCTGACTCCCACAAATTGACTTCATCTCTTTGTATCTTAATCTTTTAGGTTATTCTTTGGACTTAATGTCTCTTATAAAAAGGCTTAGATTTAATTCACTAAAAAAGTTAACTGCCAAGATAGCAAATACTATCATAAAAACTTTTGAAGTCATAAATCATGCCTTTTTGTTTTATATAATCAATAGAATTTATAATTAATTTATATAGACCCTATTAGCACTTGCACATCAGATTACCTTATTTTAAAGGTCAAGGGCACCTGGGTGGCTCAGGTGGTTGGGTGACCAACTCTTGATTTCAGCTTGGGTTGTGATCTCAGGGTCATGGGATCAAGCCGCATAGTGGACTCCACACTCAGCGGGGAGTCTGCTTGAGATTCTCTCTACCTCTCCTTCTGCCCCTCCCCCTGCTTGCATGCTCTCTCTCTCTCGCAAATAAATAAATCTTAAAATAAATAATTAAAGGTTGAAGTATTCTTTAATTGCCATTATATGGTAAAAATAATCTGAATAATTTGTTTAAACACTAGAAAGATAATAGAAAAGTAAATAATAAATTTATAACATGATGTATAATTATTAAGTAATGTACAGAAAAAAATAAAGCTGGTTAAAAGCAATAGGGAATGCCAGCCAGGGTGGACTTAGAATTATTGGTGGGGTTGGAGTGAAGGAGTTAGATTTTGCAAGGTGTGATTGCAGTGATAGACCAAGAGGGGTGGGGGAGGGGGTAAAAAAAACAGTTCCCAAAATCAGGGAGCTGGCCTGGCACTATCAGCTAGGTTGTAGTGTTTTCCTGCTGAACATAATTCCTCAGACCATGATGGATCAAGACAAAAAGACCATTTTGCAACCATGTCTAAACACAGACAAAACTGACATTGTTCAAACCACAAAAATACCCAAACATCTTCCTGTCCTGGATAATCTGAGCTAGTGTGACTCTATTAACAATTATAGCTTTGGTATTAATTCATTCTTCCTACCCCAGAGATAAGATGTATTCAGAAATCCAGTCATAGAATGCCACATACCTGACATCATCCAAATGCATAGTAAAGTCCTGCTTCCTAAACCCTTCCTAAAATCACCAATCATGAGCCCAATTACTAGTAATCAGTTTTTGTATCACACTCTTATTCAGACGCCCTTATGGTGTGCATTGTCCCTCCTTGAAATGAACTTTTAACCCAACCTGTTCAACTATAGGTTTATTATTCCTGGTGTTTGATAACTGAAAGACACTGAAAATGGGAAGCAAACATCCATGAAAAAGATAATAGGACCAATGGATTGAAAGGTCTTAGAGGAGGGAGCTGAAATGACAAGAAGTAGAGATCAGAAAGTGAGGTATTCTAAATTGAGATCATGGAGGAGGTATAGTTATTCATAATGTCAAGGTCTGGAGAATGGCCATGGGAATAGACAGAGTGGATGTGGAAGAGAGAATACTGACAGAGAAGGTATGACATCAGAACATTACAAAGATCACACACATGGACACTGCAACCACTGTGACTTAGGGTAAGAGTACTATGAGAGACAGAGACATTGAGCCAAAAATTAAAATCGTTATTGAGTGGGAATCATCTTTGAATAAGCACAACATAGAAGTATATTATAGACTGGGAGCAAAATCTTCAAAGACAAGGGATTTTAGGGAAAAGAGAGAGAAAATTAGTTTGAAAGTATTAAGGAACATCAGGGAAGACACCTACTCCACCCACAGCCTTGTGTGCTGTGGAGAGACAGAGGCTATTGCTTGATAGCACCACAAGAGAGGAGGTTCCTTAGGAGAAATTCTCATTTTAATAAGCTGAGAAGGTAAAGAGGACATTTAAGGAAAGGAGAAGGGATATGGCATTTTTAAATGTTGGATCAGAAACTCAGAAGTCACTATGGAACCAAAGAGGAAACAGGGATGAGGAAGATCCAACAAAATATGGAATCATATGGGGATATGAATCTCTATGATGAGTTCTAGACAAAGCTGTGGAGGGAACGGTGTAAGATTTTAAATGTTGTCACCAAACATTGGATATCTTTCAAGTTGCTTGGGATTCTCTCTCCCTCTCCCTCTGCTCCTCCTCCCCCACCCACTGCTCTCCCTTTCTCTCTCTCTCTCTCAAATGGATAAATAAGTCTTAAAAAAAAAATAGCTATAGTTTTTAGAAATAGTCCATTTTCTTAATGGCATACCACATTTGCTCCCCCAAAATCTCTTCCACATCAGTAAATGGCATCTCTATCATCCAAGTTCCACAAACCCCAAATCTTGGATTTATTCTTTTCTCTTTCACACCCCACAGCTAATTCATTTGACAAAACGTGTCCACTATATATTCAAAATATTATCCAGAATCCTCTCTTCCTCTATTTCTACCATCTTCCCCCAAGTCATCATCATCTCTTGCTCAGTTTATTGCAATAGATTATTGTGCTGAATAATTTTTCTTCTTCTTTCAGATCCACTTTCCAGCATCTTCCATACCTCTTTGGGTACTGGAACACTGACCTACATGGATTCCAAGAGATTCTTGCCCTCTAGTCTAGGAAGATTCTAGCAGGATCTCCTAGGTTATAAAGAAAATGAACTCACAGTATTTATTTGCTTAGTCCATTCTTGGGGCAGGGAAAGGGGGAGATCACGGTACATTGGTTATGTTCCTCTACCACAAACCACAGTTTATTTAAGGCAAATTCATTTTGTTTAAAGCAATCAGTAGGGTATAGCAAGAAAAAAGGAAAATTCTCTCATTAAATACCACCAATGTCCATTTAACCCCAATCTGTGATGGTAATTATTTTCTCACACTTGAATAAATTCTTCTGCTGGGCCTCCTATTTTACCGGGCACTTTCAGATCATAAAAAGCTGTCTAGTCTCTTGGAATCAAAACAAAGAAAAAAATGACATCACTGCAATAATTAAAAGGCTCAATTCTCTGGTAGGTAGACTGTCCAAATGGCTATACTAATCCCTGGAACATTTGAATATGGTAAGATATCACTCCTGTGATTATGTTATATGATATGCACAGTTGACTTTTAGATAGGGAGATTATTTGGCCGGGCCTAATGTAATCACATGAGCCCTTAAAAACAAAGAGCTTTTCTCAGGCTGAAGCAGAATAGGATTCCAGCTTTTGGCTTTCGGCTCCGGGAGGCAAAGGTGCAACTTTCTTCGGTCTTCCTGAATCCGGGTTCATCCGACACCAGCCACCTCCGCCATGCCGCCTAAGTTCGACCCCAACGAGATCAAAGTCGTGTACCTGAGGTGCACCGGTGGTGAAGTCGGTGCCACGTCTGCCCTGGCCCCGAAGATCGGCCCGCTGGGTCTGTCTCCAAAAAAGGTTGGTGATGACATCGCCAAGGCAACTGGTAATTGGAAGGGTCTAAGGATTACGGTGAAACTGACCATTCAGAACCGACAGGCCCAGATTGAAGTGGTACCTTCTGCCTCTGCCCTGATTATCAAAGCCCTCAAGGAACCACCAAGAGACAGAAAGAAGCAGAAAAACATTATCATTTGACAACCAAAAAAAAAAAAAAAAGAATAGGATTCCAGAGAGACTGGAAGTATAAGAAAGACTCAGCCTTTAAACATGCAATAGGTCACATGAGGAGGAATTAGGTGTTCTCTCTTTTTTTTTTAAGATTTATTTATTTATTTTAAAGAGAGCAAGTGAGCAGGGGAAAAAGCAGAGGAGGAGACAGAATTCACAAGCAGACTCCCTGCTGAGCATGGAACTCAATGCAGGGCTTGATCCCAGGACCCTGAGATCATGACCTGAGCTTAACCAACTGAGCCACCCAGGCATGCCAAGGAATTAGGTGCTCTTCTTAAGGAGGTGAGAGAGGTCCCTGCTGACATCTAACAAGGACATAAGTATCTCAATCCTACAACCAAAAGGAAGTAAACTCTGCCAATAACAGGCATACTCTTGGAAGAGGACTCCAAGCTCCAGATGAAAACGTAGCGCTGGTTAACACTTTGATTTTGGTCTTACCAGACCCTAAAGAGAGAACTCAGTTAGGTCATCTTGGACTTCTGACCTACAGAACTGTGAGCTAGCAAATGTGTGTTGTTTTAAATCACTATATGTGTGGGAATTTGTTAGGCAGAAAAAGAAAACCAATACAAATCCAGTATCATTAAAGTTCCAAACTTCAAGTTCAAGCTGCTCTCCTCTAGGCAGCATCCCCTGGAAACTTATAGGGAAAAGGAAAGAAGAGGTGTGTTGTCAGTATCTTCTCTGCTTTGCTGCCTTGCACTATTTGTCCTTAACGCTTGCTAGTCATGGTGTCTGACCCCACTATGGCAGGAGCACCAATAGGAAAAAAGGTAAGAAAGGCCTCACTTGACTAGAACCACCATGATCTTCTGGTAGAGCTCTCTGACCTTGGGATTGTTTAAAATTGAGTGTTTATTGAGCTTCATAGATAATCAGGGCTGATTTCCCTTTTGGGGGGCATATCTTTGGGAGATTTCTAATGACCTTCTCCATTGCCCAGATCCCTGATACAGTCTACCCTCCAACCAACCACTCATATCCTACCCTAACTGAGTCATATCCCCAAAGGTATAAACCCCAGAGACCTTTCCTTCAGGCTTAATTTGCTTTGGAAGGCTGCCTACTAGGGCAGGGTCTTTTTTAAATGACTTCAACTTGGTTAACTTCTAGGGTATTCATGTGGCCCAAAGAAGGTTATACATCCGGGTCAGGGAAAATGGTAGAAGAGCTTTTGTTCTCACTGCTGTCCTCTCTCTTCCTCCTTTTCCAGCACAAAGACATATGGCCAGACTTTTGCTTGGAGATATTTTCAAGTGTGAGTCCAGACGCCACTTGGTAAATATCAAGCTCTCACGTGGTCTCATTGAAAGAGAGGTGAGAGTTAAGAGGAGTGCCTCTTTCCCATGAGAGATGGTGTTGGGTTTCACAGGATGCAGACAGCTATCTTCCAAGAAATTCTGGCATCCTTTTCGAACTCTCAAGTGAAAATTTTGCTAAAATGGACTCAAAAGGTTTTTGACCACCTCCTCTGAATGTCCTGCAGTGGTCTAAAACCTCATTTTTGAATATGGGAGCACTTGCCATGTACTGTTTTGTCCTATGTATATTGGAGCTGAGGGAGAAATAATCTTATTTTAATACAGTATTAACATTAACTTTGTTTCTGTATTTTCTACAGTTAGACTCTAATCATCTTAGAGGCAGAAACCATGTTTTGAAAAATAAAAATAACCACTATTCATTAATTATCTATATGTCAGGCAGTATTGTTGAGGTAGTGTTTCCCTGACAACACTTTGCAGGAGGTATCATTCCAATAGGAAATTGGACAGATAAAACACTGAGAAGCAGCAAAATTAAGTAAATGCACAAGGTCACCCAGATTTTAAAAATACTAGGTTTGAGTTGATATTTATATCTGTCTTAACTCTAAACCTATTCGCTTTCTGTTAGGATAATGGTCTTATCAAGAAAATTCCTAGAATAAAAGGCTCCATCTTCCAAATGTTTCAAATATTTGTAGTTGCAGCATTCCATCCTGTTGTGGTGTCCTGCTATTTTCTTCTCACGAGACTCCACATTCATTACACACAACCCCAATCTGAAAACACACAGAGCGTGAACTCCAAAGAACCTGGAATGAGGAGTTTGCCCTTTCTCCTACAGCACAGAAGCAGTGCAGTAATCACACCCCCACAACTCCTTCTCCCCCTTTCTCCGCTCCTCCCTTAGTTGCCTGGTCTAGGTTTTTTTTTTTCAGATGTTAAAGATACCTAAAAAAAAAAAAAAAAAAACTGATAGAAATTTCTTTAATAGTTCATACACTGAAAGAGAATAATTACCTCTAGAACTACTTCCTAACAAACCCCAAACATGTTTTTTTCAGGAACACCATCTCCTTTCCCACAAAACTCTCTTTTTTTTCTCATTTTCTTCTTAGAAGACTCGAAAGATATTCTTGAATATCTTATTTTAAAATAAAGGATCCAAGTGCACAAATGCTATTAGTAAACAAACAAATAAAAGAGAGAAAAATATTACTATTCTTACTCTGACCACAGTCACCAGATAGTTTGGTCAGTGACCACAGAATCTTTTTGAGGAGTGTGAGTTATTTGATGATTCTCTATTGTATAAATGCATTCAGCTTCTCTTTTCTCCTTCTCAAAGCCTCAGTTTGAAATCAACTCTGTGTAAAGGTTAAAGGTCTTAGCTGAGATTTCAGACAGTCATAGTTTAAATCCTAGCTAGTCTACTTATGAACTGCTTGATTTAGGACAAATTACTTAACTTCTCAGTCTTTTCCCTCTACAATAATGGAGGATTTAAACCTTAAAATCCCTTAATTCCTTAAATATTACAAAGATACTTAGAAGGATAATGTAAGAGTAAGTATACAAAACACTCATCACTGTAGTTAATACTAAGCATTTAAAAAATTGTCACTTAATTATCATCATCATCACTATCATCATTGTATTAAAGAAGTAGGATGGAGAAGAAAGAGCATATGTAGGTCTAGAATCAGAGAAGAAACAGGTTGGAATCCTGGCTTTGACAAACTATAACTTTGGACATGTTCCTAATATTTACAATCTTTGGTGTCTTCATCATAAAATGTTTTGATGATGATACTTACAAGATTGTTGTGAGGATTAAAGATAATCTATTTTAAGTGCCCAACATGGGCACTTTGTAAAGGCTAACCTATCACCCCTTTTAGTTCAGTGAAAGTCTATTCAATACTTGGCCACACAAATGCAGGGATGTACCCCTCAGAAGCTCAATAAGGGCTTATTGATGGGTGGTTGCAAGCAATCCGTGATACTTAGGACACTGACAAAGAATATTATTGATTGCTGTCTGAATGTTTTGGGTATGTTGCTTCAACATTACCTGTAAGAAAATAGACAAACAAGATTTTATAGTATATTTTGCCCTTAATATTGCTATCCTATGTGACTAAATTGTTATGTGAAAACCTGACAGTAGGGCTATTCAACAATGTTCAATTTTTTTTTTTATTTTATGAGAAATGTCTAGTAACTATCATGATTCTTTAAAATATCCAAAGCTATGCACCCAGGTAATTAAGTAAAAAATATTTATAAATTAGACCTACTAATTGTGTTTCTTGACTTTTAAACATGTCTTATTTACTTTTTGTCTGCTTTTAACTTTTTATGTATTTACTTATTTCTTTATTTAAATTTTTATTTAAATTTGAGTTAGTTAACATATAGTGTAATATTGGTTTCAGGAATAGAATTCAGTGATTCATCACTTACATACAACACCCAGTGTTCTTCACAACAAATGCCCTCCTTAATACCCATTACCCATTTAGCCCATCCCCTCACCCACCTCACTCCATCAACCCTCACTTTGTTCTCTATAGTTAAGAGTCTCTTATGGTGTGCCTCCCTCTCTTTTTTTTTTCCCTTTTCTCTATGTTCATTTGTTTTGTTTCTTAAATTCCACATAAGAGTGAAATCATATAGTACTTGTCTTTCTCTAACTGACTTATTTTGCTTAGCATAATAATCTCTAGTTCCATCCGTGTCCTTGCAAATGACAAGATGTCATTCTTTTTGATGGCTGAGTAATATTCTATTACACACACACACACACACACACTACATCTTCTTTATCCATTCATCTGTTGATGGACATCTGGACTCTTTCCATAGTTTGGCTATTGTGGATATTGCTGCTATCAACATTGGGGTAAGTGTGCCCCCTTTGAATCACTATGTTTGTATCCTTTGGATAAATACCTAGTAGTGCAATTGCTGGGTCATAGGGTAGCTCTATTTTTAACTTTTTGAAAAACCTCCATACTGTTTTCTAGAGTGGTTGCACCAGTTTGCATTTCCCACCAACAGGGCATGAGGGTTCTTTCTCTGGATCCTCACTAACATCTGTTGTTTTCTGTGTTGTTAATTTTTTTTTAAGATTTTATTTATTTGACAGAGAGAGACACAGTGAGAAAGGGAACACAAGCAGGGGGAGTGGGAGAGGGAGAAGCAGGCTTCCCGCGGATCAGGGAGCCCAATGCAGGGCTCAATCCCAGGACCCTAGGATCATGACCTGAGCCAAAGGCAGACGCTTAATGACTGAGCCACCCAGGTGCCCCACCTGTGTTGTTAATTTTAACCAGTCTGACAGATATAAGGTGGTGTCTCATCATGGTTTTGATTTGTATTTCCCTGATGATGAGTGATGTTGAGCATCTTTTCATGTATCTGTTAGCCATCTGGATGTCTTCTTTGAAAAAATGTCTGTTCATGTCTTCTGCCCATTTCCTAACTGGATTATTTGGTTTTTGGGTGTTGAGTTTGATAAGCTCATTATAGATTTTAGATAGTAACCTTTATCAGATATGTCATCTGCAAATATCTTCTCCCATTCCATAGGTTGCCTTTTAGGTTAGTTGATTATTTCCTTTGTTGTGCAGAAGTTTTGTTTTTTTTTTATCTTGATGAAGTCCTAATAGTTCATTTTGTTTCCCTTGTCTCCATGGATATGTCTTGTTAGAAGTTGCTACAGCTGAGGCCAAAGAGGTTGCTGCCTTTGTTCTCCTCAAAATTTTGATGGTTTTCTGTCTCACATTTAGGTCTTTCATCCATTTTGAAATTTTCTTGTGTATGGTGTAAGGAAGTGGGCCAGTTTTATTCTTCTGCATGTGGCTGTCCATTTTTCCCAACACCATTTGTTGAAGAGACTGTCTTTTTTCAATTATTCTTTATTCCAATATTCTTTCTTGATTTATTGAAGATTAGTTGACCATATAGTTGTGGGTTCCATTTTTAGGTTTTCTGTTCTGTTCCATTGATCTACGTGTCTATTTTTGTGTTGCTATCATACTGTTTTGATCACTAAAGCTTTGTAATATATCTTGAAGTCTGGAATTGTGATGCCTCCAGCTTTGCTTTTCTTTTTCCAGATTGCTTTGGCTATTTGGAGTCTTCCATAGTTCCATACAAATTTTAGGATTGTTTCTTCTAGCTCTGTGAAAAATGCTGGTAGTATTTTGATAGAGATTGCATTAAATGTATAGATTGCTTTGGTAGTATAGACATTTTAACAATATTTGTTCTTCCAACCCATGAGCATGGGATGTTTTTCCATTTCTTTGTGTCATCTTCAATTTCTTTCATAAGTGCTCTATAGTTTTCAGAGTACAGCTCTTTTACCTCTTTGGTTAGGTCTATTCCTAGGTATCTTATGGTTTTTGGTGCAATTGTAAATGGGATTGATTCCTTCATTTCTCTTTCTACTGCTTCATTGTTAGTGTATAGAAATTCAAAAGACTTCTGTGTGTTGATTTTATATCCTGCCACTTTGCTGAATTCCTGTATCAGTTTTAAAACTCCAAATTTTAGGGAGCCTGCATGGCATGGACCTGTACTGATCCTCCGGGGTAGGGTCTCACAGCACTGTGGCTGGTGCAGGTTCATCCCAAAAGGACAGTCCCAAAAAGCCCCCAATGTGCATGGGCTTGGAGTTTATGGTAAAATGTGGCAAAAAGCCAGTATCCAGGTTAGCTGCCCTCAGCAGGTATCTCTGCTCTGGTGCTAATGAACAGGGCACTTCAATGGCACCAGCTAACTCTTTTGTCCCTGGAGAGGCAGTGCCACCTCTCCCAAATGCACTCCACGAAGGGAAACTGTCTCTCCCAGTGTAACCCAGGGGATACTCAGACCATACTGTTGGCTCCTGACCTTTGCCCTCCTCCTCCTCTATACCCATCAGGCTCCACCAAGCGATGGCGTGGATTTCTGAAACTTTAGTCTTTGAGCTCTGCTGCTTGTAAAAACTTGCAATAATTAGCTCCTCTCATTTTGCCCATTAAAGGTTTTGGGGAGGTGTTTTTCTTGTGCAATGCCCTGCACTCTCTTCACTCTCTCTCTCTCTCTCCCTTTCTCTCCTCTCTCCCTGATCAGGGATCCCTCCCCTCTGCAACACCCACAATTCTTTTCTCCCCCAGTCACATCTCCCCATCTCCTACCTTCACAATGTGGTCTCTTTTCTCCCTCTAGTTGTGGAGTTCTTTTTCAGCCCTCAGATTGATTTCCTGGGTGTTCAGAATGACTTGATATTTATCTAGCTGTGTTCAAGGGATGAGGCAAACATAGGGTCCTCCTACTATTCTACCATCTTAACCTGTTATATTGCTTTTAACTTTCAAAGTCACAAAATGTCCTAGAAAAAGCCTGTGGTCCAGTTTCTTAAAGAAGAAAGTAACTATATCTCTGGGTTAATCTAAAATTTGCAATCTCTGTGGCCCTATAAAATATGAAAGGTAGTGTCATAATTCATGCCATAAAAATAATGATAATTCTTGTACATTCGTCCTTCCCACCTATACCTTTACCTCCATTTTTAACTTCCTGTATATTTAGTTCTGATGTTCATAGTTTAGCCAGGAAGTCAGATGAAGTTGAAGGATGTCATTATGAAAAAGATAAAAAGAAACTAAGAAATGTTTAACTATTCTCCATGTTAATCTAAAGATGATATTTTATAATTATATAATGGTCTTACATAAAAGTGAAAAAATAACTATCAACACATTTCATTTGTATTACATAAATTGAAATTTCATGATTTGCTTTATAAAAAATCTTATGTGAAATATTCTGCCAGAAATGTTTTTAAAAATCATCGGTAAAAAGTTTTGAAAACAATAAGATAATATAAGCAACACAAATCAACAACTTGTAATAAAAATAAAGATGAATGGGGAAAAGTGAAGATTGATTATAAAATAAATTTTAAAATTTCAAGACAATTAGAAAGGCAAATCTTAAATTTTTTTACAGTTGAAATTATAGGCATTTCCTAATTATTACATTTTATACTCAGGAAAGAAATGTGAAATACTTCATTTTAAGCAAAAATCATATTTTCCTTGAGGCTAATATCCCACTAATTGACTTTTAGTCATGATACAGCTTTTCCAATCAAATATTATTATTATGTTCTTTTCTGCACATAAATTATAGTTGGGGAGCAAGAATTCCTGTCCTCTTGGGTCCTTCTAGCTGGACTAAGAATCAAATTGACATGAGACAGATTAACATGAGAAAGTCAAATTTAACCAAGTACATACAGGGAATCCACACAGACAGGAAAAGTCCAAAGACAGGCAAAATGAGGTTTATATGTCATTCTGAACTAAAGAGAAGGGGGTAGGGGTCTGGGACTTCAGAGGAAAAGAATGCACTTCATGGGGAGATAAGAAGAGTAGATGTTTGCCCTGCCATACAGATGAGTCACTCAGATAAAATTTATCTCTACTAATAACCCTTATTCTGGGAAAGACCCCCAAACTAGATTCTTCTATGTAGTTAAGGGAGGGACAAAAGTTTCTCTTGAACCCATAGGGTCTTGATTGCTTTCAGCGCAGAATAATCTTCATGCCTGAGTGGCTCATCTTGGAGTTGCCTGCCCTTAGCTCCTACATTATCATAGATGGGGAATGAAAGAGCTGTATATTCTAAAGATTATTAATATTTTTTTTCTGTGTTCCCAAGTGAGGGCTTTGGGATATAATGTGTGAGGGATGAAAAATTTTCCATTCTAGATTCTGTGGCTTGTCTAAGAACTACATTGACATATATCTGATTAACAGGGGAAAAATTAATTGTGTACATACACATGGGAGCCACACAAAGATATGACACTCAAAAGGCAGCCAAACAGTTGAGACTTACATACCATCCTGAGCTAAGAAAAGGGATAGGAGTTAGGGTTTCTGGGGAGGCGATTCACTGGAAGGTGAGTGGAAGAAATGTAAACAAAGCAAAAATGATCTCTGGTATTAGCTCTTTTCCTGGTGTAGGAATGTAAATTTCTCACATAAATTTCCTTTATAAGTGGAGATTTTCCCCCACCAATGAGGAAATTCTTACTTTTTTTAATCATTTAAGTAACAGATAAAGAGCTTTTTCTGAGTCTCCTGGGTCTTGATTGCCTTTGATTCAAAATAACTGTCATGCCAAATAGTATATTTTGGGATGGCATGTTCTATACCCCTTCAAGTGCTATTCTATCAACATTATAAAATCTGAGTTTCCAGTTAACAATTTGAAGTTATACTCAATTTTGCAAACAGATTCTTACAGAATATTTTCAATAGATTCATTTTCTACCTTTCAAAATTCAGTAAGACACAGTGGATTTGCCAAGGATTTTCTTTATATTTGGAAAGAAATCAACATTTAAAAAAGGTTTAGCAGCTGGCACTAATGAAATAAAATTGAATTAACTCAATGAAATTGAATACATTTAATGAAAACAGGGCCACAAAATAGCACCAGTTGGTCTTCTTACTGAATTAATGTAATTTTGAAAATATGCTCCACTGTTTGTTATGTTTTGCTATCTTCACAATACCAAATTCCACTGAAAAATTGGCATTCTCACTTTTTCAGAGAAATATGAGACTACAGAATATACCTCCTACATTCAGGAATATTCTAAGCTACGTACTTGTTTATGCTTATATTTCATGTCATTTTATTGAAGTGTTCTTCAATATGTGTGGCATGTAGTACCTGTCAGGCAGTAGGTGTTAACTAACGGTTGGTAATATTGTCATTATTCCAGAGAATAACCAGGTATTTGGCTGATTATAGTTAAGCTATCTTCTTAGTCCGGGAGTCCATAATTACAGGCTTATTCTGGAAAGTACAGTATTTCTCAAGACCATCAGATGCACACTGAAAATATTAAGAGATTTAAAATTTTAACACATGGGGCTTCTGCTGCTTTACTTTTATTCAGCACTTGAATTAAAAGCACTATATCTAAAGTAAATAGACATCATGTCCATGGATTTCAAGGAGATGAAACTAATTACCTTCTCATAAGAATTCATCACAATCATAATCCACAAAGATGAAGAGTATTGTCTCCAAAAGGTGGGAAAAAATGATAACCTTATGATAATAGGAATTTTACTTTAGAGGCAAATTTCTCTATTTTTCCCATTTTGGATGAATCTTCAAATAATTTTCAGGTCTCAGGAAATCCCTATTTCCACTTGCATAACAGATACTCCCAACATAGTGGTTTTCAATAACAAAGTAACCTGTTTTCCCCACAATTCTACAATTTAGCAGGTTCAGCAGGGTAGTCTTTCTCTGTTTCCATGTAGCATCCACTCAGTTGGGGGCTAGAGCACATACTTACAAGTTGGCTCATTCACATGGCTAACAAGTGGGTTCTATTTGTCAGGGGGCACTTAATTGGGGCCAGAGAGCTCAGGTCCTTTCCATATGGGCCTCTCCCTGACTTGCTTGACTCTCCTAGTGGCATGGTGGTTACCTTTCAAGAGCAAGTACCCCAAAAGAACATGGCTGAAGCAGTATCACATTCACGACCTCACCTCAGAAGTCAAAATGTCTCACTTTTACCAGAGTAAACAGCCTATCCAAATGCAAAGAATCCATGGAATCAAGATTTCAAATCAAAGTATCAAACTCATGCTGTAATAAGACTATGTGAAGTGGGAGATATTTTGGTAACCATTTTTGGAAAATACAATGTCACAGTTTGTTCTCTAATCATAAAACCTTCCATACCTCCCACAAGCAAAATATATTTTCCCCTTTCCTAAGGCACATCCCATTAGAGCCTCATCAGCTTGAAGTCCACAATTTGTTACCTCAATCAGGTCTAGGTGTAGATGAAGCTTTTGGGTAGGGTTATGTAACATACAACTTTCTATGTACTATGTCTCTTGATCTAAAGAACTGAGAACCTAAAGATATATTATTTACCTACCGCACACATATATTTGTGAGATAGGCAACAGGGATAGGTAGGATCATTACTATAGACACTCTAATTCTAGAAGGGAGGAAATTTAAAAGATACAGCAGCCATTGGCCTATAAAAATACAGAAAGGAATATATTGTCAATGCCATGATTAGGGCTAAGATTTACTGCCTGAGAACTGTTCTCTGTAGTTCTGTCTCCACCCTCCAGACTATTGCTTTTGGTCTCTGAGTCACTCTTCCTTTTCCATAGGAAATAGTCTGTGTTTGCAGTAATTTTCTCTGCCTGCTTCCTGCCACAATCATTTCAGAATCTAAGGCATTTTTTTATTTGATACTCTTTTTGATATTTTAGTCCAAACTGGTACAATTTTTTTCAAAAACTTTTAGGTTTGTTGCCTATCAATTTATAACCCACTCTACTAGACAAAAGCCATATCCATAGTTTAAGGTAAGCCCTTCTCTACCTTTTGTTCTGGGTGAAATTTCTATGGAACAATGGCTTTAAGATTTCTAGAAGACCACTGTAATAGAATTTGTAAGACATGCTCTTGTATCTTTCTGAGAGCTCCTTGAAAGGGTCTGTGAAACAATACTGTAAATGTTTTTTCCTTTAGGTCTTCAAGGATCTCACAGGTCT